AAAAGGCAAATACAGCTCTGGAAAGGACTTCTTGTAGAGAGAGAATTGCCTCTGCTTGAGGCAACGGTGAGCCCTTTTTCTGGTTCACGAGAAGTAGGTGTGGGGTAAACGAGAACAGGGGGAGCTACTACACTTCTGGGAAAATTCCCAATTTTCATAGGGAAAAAGAATAACCTGTTCTGGTAGAAGGAGAAAGAGAACATGGCTTGTTTAGCTTGGTAAAATGAAGATTGAGAAGAGATACAATTGCTCAATTTCAAGTTGGCATAAGAATGACTGGGTGTAAAGGAGCTGTGAGTGAACCCCCTGCACATGAAGAGGCGGGGTGCCCAGCCTGTTTCAGTCTATGTGACTCCTGAGGGGTGCAGGTGGTCGGGGCGGGCTGCAATCAGCCCATCCCAGCTGATGGACTGAGAGGAGGGGGCAGCAGGCCCCGACTGAGGTGTCATGGGAGGTGAAACGTGGCTCAGGGTGGCCATGAACACCCGCTGTGCTGGTCACCGTGCCGGGACCAGAGCAAATACAACATGAGCAGCTCTAGAGACAAGGCAGTGAAAGTTAAAGGCAGAGGCAAATTAGCACCAGTGGAGACTGGAAAACGCCTGTGAAGTGGTATTTCTTGCTGCTGCTGTGGTTTCTGTGCAGGTTGTCAGGGAGAAATGCTGCTGACTTGCAGGACCACGGAGGATGGAACAGAACTGAGAAACGCTCTGCTTTACAACTTGCTGTTTTTCTTGAATGCATTCCTCATTGACTTCACTCTCTCTGATTTAATCTTTCTGTATTTTAAGATATTGCAATATGCTTGATAAGACTAATGTGCTCTGAAGCTGAGGCATTCCCCAGTTGTAATTGGTTACAGATGGGGAGCTTACCTTCCTCCTGGCTTGGTCTCTGAAACATTTTCTTAGTCTTAAAATATCCTACTTGGCTTCTCTTGAAGGGACAGAGAATGTTTTGTGCTTCCTCATGGAGTCATCAAGAAAAAAAGGACGGGTGGTTTGGAGCTGCTGCATTTGCATAACCCTGAAAGGTGCCTTTAACTGATGATGAATTTTGATTTAATCACTGTGACCGAGCGATCGCACATCAGACCCACTGCCACCTCTCCAGTGGCGTAACAGTG